TATAAAAATATGACTAAATTTACTATTAGTATATAGTGTTTTGGATACTTAAGTGTAAAAACTGAACATGAGTTATTATGACTAAAATTACTACTATAGTCACTACACTACATAAGGGGTCACATTTTTTTAAATGACCTTTATTTTAGTTATAAATATGTAATGTTTTCAAATTTAATACTATCTTAGTCCGTTAAACCTTTGTCATCTTTGACTTTGTTTGGCGAGCTAAAAAGTATTCGTTGGTATAGTGGAGCAATTGGATGTTCTTAATTGGTTCTATGATCTCATGTATTATGACAAGTCATGCACATATTACTCTAGAAGAATAAATTATCTATTGCATTAAACATAAGGATGTTTTTACTTGGACTGTAATATGTCCCACCAAACCAGATCAGAACAGACCAAACGAGACTTGACCAGACCAACAAATTATAGTCCAAGTAAAAACATCCTAAGTTTTCATTGCGCAGTATTATTCTTATAATATTTAGACATCTAGAGAAATTTATGTGCATGCTCAATCATAATACTAAGAAATGTTTTGTAGTTTTAAATTCTCATTCTAATGCAGAATATGATGTGTGTGATTAATTACAATGTAAGGAAGTATTGATGCGTTGTTTAAATCAAAATAGAATTATGTGTATAATTTATACTTCAGATCTTAGAAGGGCTTTCACAAATTAAAGCGTTACCCATTATTACCTATTTCACAAAATTAAGAATCATTTATAGTTATACAATAAAGTCACATATAGAAACTAGAAAGTCCAAATATCACCTTGGGTAACGCACGGCCTAAACACTAGCATTTTCAAATAATAAGTGAATTGATGACTTTTGCTCATGAATTGAATAATAGTGGAGGGTGCTAAGGGGTAAATATGAAATCTTTATGAGCCACTAACTCACTTATCCTGCTAATACACATATATGAATAATAAAGATAGGATTCACATCGTCTTTTTTTATCTTGACATTGTTAGTAATCCAGACATCCATTATCTATCATATCACTATAAGTGACCCCTTGTTTTCAATTAACTCACTTATATATCCAAAATGGGATTCATCAAACAATAAAACAATGTTTCTCGATGGTTGAGGGTACCTAGTCTAGTTTATATTTTAATTATTTTCTACGTTAGGTATGTTGTTTTTCCTCCTTTGGACTACACAGTAACCAATTCCTACAGAAAGAATCAAAATAACAAGTCCATCAACTATGCCTGCCACAACTAAAACCCATGTGTTTATACGGCAAGCTTTTCCATGGCAATCATCAATAACATCCTTTGGCACCTTAACCATATAGCTCATTTTTCTTTCTCTATCATCGCCCATTTGCTTAACTCCTCTTACTAGCCCATAAAAATAACATTCACCCTCTCGGTTCACAGCATCTCCATACATTGCCGCGACACATGTACAATTATTCAAACATGAGTCTGCACATGCTGCTTTTGTAAGGTTGACCTTTTTAGAACTGCTATTTAGTATAGTTGTGATACCATGTAACTCGAGCATCCCCAACCGACTTTTGTCGCAGGACCCACTGGCTAACATCTCCTCATTGCAGCAATATAGACCAGAGAGCCCTCTTTTGACAAGCCTTATGCATGAACATTCACCGGAGGAAGTGCAAATATCATAGGACTTATTACATGCAAATGGAAGATAACAAGTGTTATTGATTGCCTCATATGAAGCTTCAAACACTTGTTTCTGGGGTGAGTAATAATATAGTCCCAAATTGCCTGTTGTGAGAGTTATGAAACGTTTAGGAGAAAATTTTGGTAAAATTTCATGCGCAAGTATTAAACTCCTTGTTGAAGTACAATTTCTGCATGAGAATGCATAACTGAACCCGAACATAATTACAAGAGCCACTATTAAAAATTTGCAATGATTCACCAATTACTAGGATATATAATCAATTACAATTATGCATTAATTTAATGAGCTAGATATTGTACAAAATAGTTAATTGACTTGCTTAGTTTTTTAAAGTAGTTTAAGGTGTTCGGTATTAGTTTCGTCATTTTACTTACTTTTAGATTATGACATCTAATTCATATGCTTGTCCACATTGAATGCTTTAATTTTCCACTGAAATGTAATATTTCAAACAAAAACGGCACAGGGAAAATTTCCAACAACAATAAGAATGTAGAATACATTATTTCGGCAGAAAATTCCTTAAAAATGCAGCTACTTTCACATTTGCGTCCCCACAAGGCGATGATACAGGGAAGGGCCCCACCATAAGGCTGTATAAGTGGCAAGCCTTCTTCTTGTCATTTTGACAAGAAGTTGCTCCTAAGACTTAAACTCGTGACTTCTCAGTCACATGGCAACACCGTATTCAGAAAACATTAATGCAGAATATGGATAAATTTAATAGTTACTCACATCCCTATGTGAGTGTAGTTATAGGACTCATAATCAAAACACAAATTACGAGCCTACACTATTTTTTTTTTTTTGCAAAATAGGCTTAAATACTGACCCATACCTGTAGCATCTGCTAGTGCTAAGAATTTGGGAGGCTCTTGTGGTGTTTTTGAAGTTATTTGAGTGATTCTCCAGTTGACCCCATTGTATATCTCTAGGCCTTGTGATGTGAGACGGGCATATGTGATGTTTCGATTATTAGATGGTTTGTACTCCCAGTAAGAGTACTTCCAGTTACCTGAGTTGAAATATAGTGCAAGTTTGTCATCATGAATCTCCAGCGAATAATAAAATGAAGGAGATGAGTTAGAAATTGGGAAAGATGTCAACCGAGTCATTGGACTTAGTCTCTGACCCCACAACATTGTGTTTGTTGGGAAATTGAAGCTTTGCCACTTTATGGTGTTCTTGGAATCCATCAAAACTAGATTGCCTGTGCGTAGCAACTTTAATTTCTGTATAAATACATCATATATATCACATGCTACCTCTACTAAATTTGATGCATGGGGAGATGTATAAAAGAATAAATAGTAATTGCTCTAAATAGGATTAAAAGTTAATCAAAGTGCATATGAGTCATGACCATATGTTTACAATTCTCAAAATATTACTTATTTGAACCTATTAAAAAACAAAATTTCATCAATTAGGCCTTAATGAGTCATATTTTAGGAAGGAAATAATCATGGTCCTATTTACGCATTTTGTCAATGTTAGTCTTATTTAAGGAATTTACTCAAGAATAGAATGGGTAATCAAAAGTTGGTGAAGTTTAATTCAAGAAAGTGTTCTTTATTGTACAAACAATAAAGGAGTTGATCTGAGGCTGGTTTCATGTTATTTTTCCTATTAAAGCGAAACAGTATGTGAGGGTGTATGTTGTAGTTTCGAGGGTGACAAGTCGGTCTGGCTTGATTTTAGGTAAAACCGAACCGAAAAAACAAACTCGCCCCCACTTGATATGCGACAGCGAGAGATTGTGTGTTTTCAATAATTTGTAAATTGTGTGTTTATTAAACTTCTAATATTTGCTATTACTTGCTCCGTATTTGCTAATGGTTAGGGGGTGTTTGGAACTGATTCTGCTTCTACTTCTTTTTTAAAGCAGAAGTTTATAACACGACTGTTGTGGCGACGCACGTAAAACTGACGCAAAACTGTCGTAAATGTTCCTCCTTACGTTTTTACACAGTTTTGCGACAGTTTTACGTGCGTCGGCACAACAGCTGTGGTAAAAACATTGGCCACAGTTAAAAACTGTCGTCTCTAAGCTTTTACCACATTTTTGTGTGTGGTAAATAAAAAAATGTGTGGTTAATGGTGTTTTTAACAACAGTTATGCTGCCATCGCAAAAAACAATTGTGGTCCATATGCAGTCTATGTGCATTTGTTTTGTAGTGAAAAACTGATTCTGAGAGTAAATCAGAAGACCAAAATCACTTCTGAACTTTCACCCAAACACTCCAACTTCTGGTTCTGCTCCTTCAGGGAGCAGAAGCAGTTTATGAATCAGATCCAAACACCCCCTTACTCTCATTCGCGCAATAAAGATCTCCAATATGTAGTACTATGTACTCCCTCCGTCCCGCAAAGAAGTTCCCGCTTTCCTTTTTTAGAAGTCCCAAAAAGAAGTTCTTTTTTCTTTAAATGACAAGTTATATACATCAAAACAGTGCCAAACAGTGCAAAACAGTGTCAAACAGTGTCAGATAGTGTTGAAACAGTGTCAAAACAGTAAAATTTACCCCTGATAAGTTTATTTCTTTAATATGTGTGTAGGTCAAACCGGGAACTTTTTTGTAGGACGGAGGGAGTATCATTTAAGAGTTCCATACTTCCAAAGAGTAGCATCTCTTTTTTTTCTTTTTCTTAATTTCAAATTGTGAATACGTACTTTAAGCCTTGATGATTCCTTAGTGCGACTCATTTCAAAAGCATTTAGGACTCTGGAGGTTATGGTCAGGCGGTCGGGCCCTTTGAGAGCCTATCAGCCATTTTTTGAAAGATTTGACCAAAGTTAGGGAGTGTTTGCGATTGCTTCTACTTTTAAAAAGCAAATTTTTAAAGTGATTTTAGAGAAAGTACTTAATAGTAAAAGTTGGTAGTGTTTAACAAAAAAGTGATTGTCAAAAAGTAAAAGTTGGTAGTGTTTGGTAAAATAAGTACTTTTTGTGTAATAGAAAAAGTGAAAAGCAGTTTAAAGCACCCTTCCACCTGCTTCCAGCTTTTAGCTTTTAAGTGATTAATTTAAGCAGAAGCTGTCATTTGAAAACACTCTTTTCAGCTTTTTTTAAGCCAAAAGCTGAAAAGCGCTTTTTTTAAGCAACTTCAAACACTCCTTTAGCCTTTTGGCTAAATCAATCAGCCAATAAATGTGTTTGGTTAAATAGCATTTTCAAATTGGTTTTTTGTTCCAAAAAGCCAAAATTAGAAAAGCTAGGGGTGGGCGTGGTCCGGAACGGTCCGGTAAATTAGTAAAACCCGTAATGTATCCGTGAGGTTTTTAACGGTCCGGTACGGTTCGGTTTCAAGGATGGAACCATTCGGTACCATGTTGTTTCGGAACGGTACAAAATGGTACGGTACAATGCCAAACACATGCTAAAAAATTTGAACAAATTTTGCAATTAGTAGATATCATCACACCAACCAACTCACAAGAAATTGCATATATAAGACTAAAATTCACAAATAAACAAATAGTGCAACACAACTAAGAAAGAGTATAGCAAAATGATGAGTCACGAGATAAATATCATCCTTAATTTACTTAGTTCGTGTGAAAATATAAAGAAGAATATCATCAAATTGTTGAATATAATAGAAATCAACAATATATATTATATATTGTATAAAAAGAAAAAATAACAATAAATTATATTATATATATAAACACACACATTTAGCTCTTTTAAGGACGCATAAATACATACTTGGACTATAAAATTGTTGATCTATAAAAGAGATCTATTGAATTGGTATAGAAAAAATATAAAAAATTCAAGTGCATTATTTTCAAACGGTTCGGTTCGGTATTTTTCGGTTCTCAAAATCTAGGACCGGTCCCGTACCCTTTTTAACGGTACGGTTTCGGTACGGGACAAAAATATATAGAACCGTTTAAATACCCGGTATTCGGTTCGGTACCATTACGGGACGGTTCGGTACCGGTTCGGTTCGGGTTTTATGCCCACCCCTAAGAAAAGCCATCAAACATAGCGTTTAGTATTGGCTTTTGAGTATCTTCCCTATACTGCCCACGTCGCTAGGTTGCTGTATCTTCCCCACGCAGAGAAAACTTCCGCCCAATAAAAAAAAAACTTCTGCCGTCCGGAATCTTCTTTCGTCGAAGGGCACAAGTCAATTTGCTCATTTATGTGAGTCGAACCTAGTTAAACAAATGGGGGACGCCAATTTGTTCAATAACCCATGTTTAAACAAATTAAATGGACTCTCGTCAATCAGGGTCCAAATATATGCAAAAGTTGTATGTGAATTGCCATTATTTTCCCATCTTTTAATAAAGATTACTAGAGATGTGGTGCTGCAACGATTGAACTAGCAACCAATCTCTCACTTTTTTATTTTGCAAAGAAAGAGCCAGACGTTGAAGAGCTTCATCTAAATTGAACTCATCTAAATTATTTAACGATATAGTTCTTTTATTGAAATAATTATTACTTATTTTAATTAAATATTTATTGAGTCCCTAAATGTTATTTAACAAGTCATCAGCTAATTGTAAACAGTCATTTAACCAAGAGATAATTACCCTAGATATGAGTAAAACTCATCCACTTTCCCAGTCTATGACCTAGTTAGTTATTTTCCCTTTATAATATTGAAATTCGTAATAATTAATTAGTTAATAAATTAATTACTAATTAATATGGACAAATATACCCTTAACCTATTATTATTATTATTATAAAACCCTAATGGGAGAAAAGCAAACGATGGTGAGAGGGCGCAGCTAGATTCATTAGCGGCAATTGACCGAGGGCAATTGGACGAAGATGGCTATTCGAGGATCTGGTAGGCCGCAGGCCAACGGCGATCGGTGGTTTTTAGTCGCAGCGAGAGACTGACTATTCGTGGATCCCCATCGCAAGAGTACTATGGAAGAATCGAGACGGCGTTGCAGTCACCATGGAGGATTCCCATCGCGCACCTCTCCCCTGTAATTGTCTTTCTCGAACCGATACCAATTAGCAGGGACAACAACCTTATTTCAATATTCAATTTTTACCATCTTTGAGTGGAGGAAGCACGTTGGAGTTATGGCGAGATGGCCGATTCTCCAAAACGTAGGCATCCAAAGTGCTATTGAATACTACATTATTTTTATTTATTGCAATAATTTTTATATGATTATGGCACAAAATTCACAGCAATTCATATTGGCAGACTTATCCAAGTCGTATTGCCACTCCATTCTAATTCTTCTCTAATTTCTCTATTTTTAAAATTAGGGTTTGTGAGCATTAAACATGGGCACTGAACATAGACCATGAGCATGTTCACTGAACATGACAATAAATCCGGTTGAGTATGAGGAGTGAATACGACAATATATAATGTTGTACATGTACATTAAATGAATGCATTGACGAAGTGTGTTGCGAACATTTCAACGAGTGTTGAGTATGTGTAGTGAATATATGGTAATAGACATGATGTACATGGCAGTGAATGAATGCATTAATAATTTAGTTGTGCAGTGATTATGACCAGTATTGATGTTACACAAAGCAGTAAAATCATCATGAAATGCAATATATTTAATTCAACGTAAAATAATAAAATTATTAAATCTAAAATAAACTAAAAATAATTTCCTCGAGTAAATGAGAAGAGAATTAATTTTGGCGGAAGTGCAGTGATTATTACCGGATGTGCAGTAAAACTGTGCATTAATGTCATGCATTAACGGCAATATAAAGTGCAGTAATTTTAACTGGACGAAATTAATGCAAAATGCACATATTTTAAATAAGGGTATTTTTGTCATTTAACCATTAAATACAAACGGGATTTATTTATTTATTTTGATTTTCAGTCATAGATAAGTATAAAAACTAGTTAGGTCATAGATTGAGAAACTCATTGAGTTTTAGTCATATTCTAATAAATTTCCCTTTAACCAAATACAATTTGATAAACTGTTAACATTATCAGCTGACCGAAACAGCCAATAGAATCCGTTGTTATCAATCAGCTAAAAGAATCGGCCAACAGCTAACAGCCAACAGCCGATTGACAAACACCCCTGTGATTAATTATATTCGGTACTTTAGGTATGTTTTATTAATAAAATATAATTAGGAAAATAAAGCGATGGTAAAAATGTAACGTTTTAAAGTCATCTGTTTTTTCAAAAGGTCTGATACACCTACTCATCATAGATCTTATAAATACGTAGTACTCCGACCTATTGGCGCCAAACGAGGAAGAAAGGAAACCCTTTAAGTGGACTAGACGCGATGAGGTGATTGCATCCCGATTGAATTGTTACCTAAAATTTGGTATGAGTAAACTAGACTTAATGAATAAGATGATCAAAAAATTCTATCGAGAACCTCCCTAAATGGCGACGGCCGGACAAAGCTTTCTATATAATGGCTTATTTGACCTTTTTATGTAAGTTCGAGAGCCTATCTGATCCTTTTCCCTAAGAATAATAAAAAAATGTAAAAAAATTAAAAAATAAAATAAAATACTTATAAAATGAAAATTCAAAAAAAAAATTAAAAAAAAAGTAAAAGCCTAATAAAAAAACGTTGCCTCTGCCACCCCAGCACAATCAGCTCCGATCACCAGAGAAAAAATGCCAACATGTTTAGTAATGCGGTGGTAGTGGTACTAGGAGGCGGTGGGAAAGGTATCTATATTAGGGTATTTAGAGTAGGAAATCAATGTTTAGTCATATTTGTGAATGATTTAAGGCTTTAGTCTATTGCAAACTTTAGTCTTAGGACAATTTCTAAACTATATACCGTTGCAGCCTTGTTTTTACTTGGACTGTAATTTGCTGGTCTGTTCTGGTCTAGTCTGGTCTGGTCTGGTTTCTTTGTATTTTTATAACTACCCAAGTCTGGTTTGATCTGGTCTAGTCTGGTCTAATCTGGTCTGGTCTGGGACAAATTACAGTCCAAGTAAAAACATCGTTATTACCTGAACGCCTTGTCCAGAAGTTCCAGCATGCCATCCAATGGCGGCGATGGCGGCATGGCCACCTCTCCTAGCGCCCTTCAGTTGTAGGTCACCCCCATTCTGTGTTAGCTCAAGAGTGCAACTGCCCATGGCGTAAAAGGGAGAGAGATGACCAGAACTCCATACTTTCACATCTTCACCAAGAAAAACATCAAGTGAACATGTGTATAACTTCTTGTCATCGTCAACCGCTTCGACGCTGACCGCCGCCCTAAAGTTGACTAGCGGTGATTTGGCGGCAGGGGCAGTTTCCATCAGAAAAGCCCTCCCCACGAACCCTCTGCTGTATTCCGTGGGTATAGCCACAGTTAGCTGGTAACCAATGTGGGCATTATCAGAGGTTTTATTATTGTTCGTATGGAAGAAACTAGCCTTGATGATGAGGCAGTGGTGTTGAAGGAGAAAAAGGAGTACGTAGGCTTTCATGTTTGTGTCCTTGAGTGGCGGGAGCATATGAACACTAGCTTTAATTAATTTATAGGTAGATTCTATGGTACCCATAAAGTACCATACCTTTGTCCACGTGTACCAATGAGAATGTAACAGTTGATTTATTTAAATCTAAATTAAAAATGATAAAGTGATGTGGTCCAATCAAATGAATGGTAGGTACGGTACCCCATATTTTAGAAAGGTACCGGAGTTGTCACCTTATATATATTATGGAACAACTTCCGTACCCTCCTAAAAATGGGGTACCGTACCTACCATTCATTTGATTGGACCACATCACTTTATCATTTTTAATTTAGATTTAAATAATTCAACTGGTACATTCTCATTGATCCATTTGGAGAAAGGTATGGTACCTTATGGGTACCAAAGAATCTACCTTATATTATTGCTATGTGCCTATGTGTGTCTCTCGGAGAATATAATAACAAAATAAAAAGGAAAAATTCACAAGAATAATCCCAACTATTAACCACTTCTCATATTAATCCGTAATTCTAGTATAATATAACTTATAAGGGTAGCCTTCTCATAATGCACTGATGACCTGTTTATAAGGGGATAGATGGAATCCATCCCCATCTATCTAAGCCGACTTGCCGTTGTCGTTTGACTCGTCGCCAATGTCGTCAGTCGAAGATTGGAGAAGGCAGCCAGATGTGTGATAGCGCTCACCATTATTAAAATAGAAATTGACAAAAAAAATTGTACAATCAAAACGTGAAAAATGATAAAATTAATTAAAGAGACGAATGGAGTATTGCATCATGTCCTAAACTAAATCAGATGAGATTCTATTAGATCAAAAGATTAGATTCAAAAGTATCCAATCAAACTAGAACAACATGACATGATGATATAAATATACATAATATCGAAGAAAAATAAAGCACACGAGTCCAAAACTAAACCCCAATCAAGTCGAAAATTAAAAATGCATCAAAAAATTGAAATGAACAAGTGAGAATTAATACTACCGTAAAAATTCCCTATCTTCGTTTTCAATACCAACACGCGGACATTTGGCATTATTACTATTTTATTACAAGTGGTAATTACTGGTAACCCAAAAAAGGGTTTGCAAAAGTGGTAAATTCTAAATTGGATAATGATTAGGATGGGGGATTCATGAGTCATAACCATAGCCGTGGGCGTGGTTTCCCTTTTGGGTTGTGGCAGGCAGAAGGCCGGCAAGCATGCTTATTTTGTAGTGCGTTTCTACTTGAGTTTTCTGTTTGGAATTGGATCCCACATAAGCCCATTTTCACTCCAACGTAGGCTATGTTTCGCATACGCAATTCAGCTCAAAATGGGCTGAAATCTAAAAACTTCAGCCTATTATTCAACAAATATTGGTGTTTGGACAATGAACTGAAGTGAGCTTATGTTGATTTGAATGAGCTGAAGGTAGTCTGAAGCAAAACGTTAAGAAAGCTAACGTTTCCATTAAGTCTATAGAGATGATAAGAAACATTCCAAAATTACCCCCTAAATGATGCTAAAATAATAACACAAAAATCTTATGTGAGGAAGGGCCTGCAAGTCACCGGATCAACGAATCCTTTTGGGGAAGACGCCTGGCCACCAGGAATATGTCCTGGGACTTCACGCTGCACTTCCGAGGATTCATCACTTATGCGGCGATCATCTTCCAGCTTATGTCATAGAGTCAATTGAATCGTTTGATGTTTCAAACAAATAATTTCATTAATGAAGTGTGGGAACACTATAGAAGATTATGGAACCTCCTATATTTTCTTTGTATTTTGCATTTGGATAAGTTAAAGTGGAGGTTTTTTTTTTGGAGCTTCGTGTAAAAAGAATGTATACTACTCCGTATAATCTTAAAATTGTTAAAATTAAAATATACTACGTAAATCATTATATTAAAATTGATTGAATAATATGTTTTATGCCCTTTATTGTAATTTACATTTTCCGGTCATTCTTTCAGCTCTTTTTGCCAAACGAGTATATTTCATTCAGTTAGCTATTCAGATTCAGCACTTCACAGTTAAGTTCTAGACAATAATCTCCGATTCAGACAACAGCTCCTAATTCAGACAATAGCCTCCAGCTTCAGTTCGTTGTGCCAAACATAGCCGTAGTCAGTCTCCTCCGTTGTTGACGACTTGACGCCAGACTGGCAACCCAATTTTTCGCTCAAATATTTGAAGAAATTTACCACCCAAATATTATACTTTACCACGTCAGACCGATGACCCAAACATTTATATCAGACCAAATCAAACTTAAATATACCATATCGGACCAACAAATTTCAGTCCAAACAAAAACATCCTAATTTTTCTAAATATGTTGTTGTGACAAATTCCACCATTTGCAATAGAGCAAAAAACTCTCAATTTTTTAGTTTGGGAATATGATGAAATAAAGCAAAATGGTTCACTAAACTGTCTCTGCTTCTTTGTTATGAATCAGCAGTCAGTCCACACAATTCTCGACGCGATTTTCACTATGGATCATCCGGAAACAGTCTCCTCATACCCCATCGTAGGTGAGAACCTTTGTGGCACTGGGAGTGATGATGATGATGTGACAAAACAAACCACACAAATAACTAGTTAACCATTGAAGATACTCTAAATTTGTCTCACATTATATTTGGTAATATTTAAATGAATGAAATTTATTTTTACTTTCTTCACACTTTATCTATTCAATACCAACGATAAATTTCCACTTTACTGAACTACATCGTCACTCCCTCATGTATTAACCGAGAACAACCGAAAGGCCGGAGGTAGTATAATTACTTATCTTTTTATTTATATTTTCGGAATCTTTTCATTCATTTTGTAGAGGAAAAAGCTTTACAACCTATATAGCATATATATGGTGCAGTTTCGGTGAAAACACTTGTTAGATTCCCGTGAGAAATGAGAACGATTCAAAAGGATGCACAATTATGGTTACATTAATGCCCACACGGTTCAAATGTGCACATTTGTGGTTAAAATAATGCATAATCTAAATTTACATTTTCTGATTAATTTATGGTAGTACACATTTCTAGTTCACGTAATACCATTGTTCTAAAAATCGGTCTAGGCGGACCGATTAATCGGCCTAGTCGGCCCTAACTGTAGAGGCCTAGTCGGTCAAAAAATCGGCCTAATCGGCCAAAAAATCGGCCTAGTCGGCCAAAAAATCGGCCTAGTCAGCCGCATAGGCGCTAGGCGCCCCTCAACCGCCCGACTAGCGCCTAGCGAGTTTTAGAACAATGCGTAATACACAATACTCAAATCCAAAACTCCAGAATCTTTATCAGCTCTTTCTTAATGTGAGAACACCCACATTTACCCCAATGTGATGATGCATAATGAGACTAGTCCGTTGCACTTTTTTCGCATTAAACAAAGGCAAGTTTTATAGCACCCTATAGTACCCTAAAATTACCATACCTTACCTTGTTCATATGAACCAATAAAAATACTTCATATGAGGCATTGAAATATAAATAAATGATAAAATAATTGTTTAAAGCAATATTATAATAAACAAATTAATAAATGATAAATGATAGGTGCAATATTCTAATTTTTATGGGCACACTAGCACTCACTAAAAACAAATGAAACAAGACATACAAACGCCGACCAAGATATCTGAGGAAAGATTTTTTTCCCAAAAAGAGAGAATATAATAGGTCAAAAGTACTAGGTAATAAGAAGCCATAATATAGATTGGATTGTTTGAATTGTAACCGCCACGGCACTCCGGATGAATTACCAAAAGTCATGTGCAGCCATATAAATAGATGCTTCAAATTAAAGTATTCAAAAAGCCAATATGCTTTTGAGGTGAAATGAGATCTACCATTGTCCCTCCGGATACTCTAGCTACGTACAGAATTAAGCTAGATTTTGATCGAGTAAATATATTGAATTTTGCTTCGTGGACACGCCCGGTTACACGCCGGCTTACACGTTCAAGTGTAATCGTCTGTGCACGGACCATTACACTTGAGTTTTAGTAAAAGAAAGTTTTTGTGACTCAAAAAAATGAATTGTCTGTGTATAAACAATTCGGGATCACAGACACTCCCTTTACTAAACCCAAGTGTAATTGTCTATCCACGGGCAATTACACTTGAGCACGTAAATTGTTGTGTACACTAAGCAAAATCGAAATGTATTATAGCCTTATAGGCAAACTTCATGAGTCTTGAATTCTAACATTGCTATTCATTCTTGATTCTGGGTCGTGCTTGGAATTAATTGACCCCTTCGTGAATATTTTGAAGGTCATAACTTATATAACCACAAGTTTAATTGGCATTCAACTGCATTCTGTCTAACATATCATACCTTTTGATTGTTTATCCCTAACTTTTCCTTTTTTTTTTTTTTATCCCGGAAGGTAAACCACCAAAATCAGTGGGGCATGTGCCGGGAGTCATATGCCGTTATTTTATTGATAAACGTGATGAGTACAAAAAGAGAGGGGGACAAAACCAAAACCTCTCCCAAGGAAATAGAGCAGTACATGGGAAAAAAACAAACATGGAAAAGAATTAAAGACGAAAGTAAGGAAACCCGAAGAGATCAGAATAATAACCAGATTTAACAGTAGATGGCAAATTATGTACTGAATCAAAAAGAATGGAATGGGCCGCCTGTATATCTAGACCCGCCAAATGATGTGCCGGCCCATTAGCTTCCCTGAATACATGTCCAAAAACAATCCCCTTCTGAACCGCCCTTCTTCTAAAAGACTGGAGTCCTGCATACTTTCCTGATTCGGTCTTAAGCATAGAGATAACACCAGACGCATCGGATTCTACCTGAAAGTCAACAAACCCCATTTCCATCGCCATTGACGCTGCTCGGATAATCGCTTGAAGCTCCGCCATCTCACTCGTTGCAGCAGTAACTCTGAAGCAAGTAGCCCAGATCAACTCGCCTTCTCGATTTCGAAGGATAGCACCTCCTTTCGCCGAACCAGGTAAAAACGATGCATCAACATTTAATT